CGACAGCTACGAAAACGTCACTTAAAAATGAATGCTGGCTGCTTTAAACTTTATGACGCTTATTCTCTCTCGTTTAGTTAGTCAAATGTTGGTAAATTTTTTTTGGAGTTGATTCTAAAGGACTGTATCAAAGTTCAGGAAAAGAAAAAGAAGGTTGTGTTGTGTTCCCGTCCTCGAAGAAAGCATGAAATTAGGTCCGGTTCAGACGCCGTACTTTTCATGAGCCGAACCTAATACATAAAATTAAGTACATGAAAAGTTCGGCGTCTGAATCAATTAGGAACGCCTGTTTCAATTTGGAGCGGCTCAGCAGTTCTTTTCGCCTAGCCTGGCCGGGAATTTCGCCTCTGGAGCGACTTTGGAACGGCTTTGATTCAGACGCCGAACTTTTCATGTACCTAACCTAATGCATAAATTATTATAACGTATTTTCTAAGCAGTTTGACCGCAATGGGCATTTTTCTCCTGAATTAGTTCGGCTGGAATTAAGATCGGCGTCTGAATCAATTTAGCCTGTCCAAATAATTTAGGTCGGTCTTAATTCGAATTAGGTCCGGCTCATGAAAATACGGCGTCTGAACCGGTCCTTAGACACCTGCACTTTCATGTTGTAGTCGTGGAACGACGGCAAAGAAATGTACAAAAAAGCGTGATGCACGTGCAAAGTTGTTGTTTTGCTCTAAACCTATAGCTGTTTTTGCCGTCGCCGTCGTCGGATCCTAGGGCCTGTTAACATGGAGGTGGGGGACCCCAGGTAGGTGAGGTAACCCGCTTAGGTGGGATAACCCGCCTGTTCATATAATCACTCATTTTGATTTGATCACGTTTACAAGATCGGTGGGGTGAACTGCCGCGGGTTACTTCACGTACCTGGGGTCCCCCACCTCCATGTAAACTGGCCCTTAAGCTCCCTCTTGTCGGGTAGGCAACCGCGTGAGAAATAAATAGTGTTTGCATGAGAATCTAATGTCGAATAATTTTCGTAAAACGCCTGTTCTGAAGAAAGTAGGGAATGTAAACTAAAACTCCACAGCAAAGGATTTTACTCACAAAGTTTGGTGGCCCGTAACTGTGCTTAAATTTCTCCAGTCGCTTGCTTTGGGTTTCCTATATATTTGTCTGCAATTTTTCCCGGGAAATTTTAGGAGGCAGGAAAAAAACATTTTTACACACAAATGTACAAAAAATTTTAAAAAATTGTTCTAGCGCAAGTAACAAGAAGTGAATCTTTAGTTTTGTTAGAACAGCCCTTTAAGGTAGACTGCTAGCAGTCTCTCTTTTCCTTCAGATTTAGTGAGAGCAATGCACGCGCGCGGGAGCGGCGAAGCCGCGAAACGCGCGAAACGAGGGCGGCAGCCTTTGCGGGTAGTCCCTCTTATTTCGTGCCTCTCCCGTCTCGCGCCATCAGTCACGCGCGTGGCCATTTGCGTATCTCGCGTTTTGCTCGACGGACTACAGAAAAAAGAGAGGCTGCTCGTAGTCTATTTAAGGAAATTATTCGACATAAGATTCTCGTACAAACACTGTAACTTCTCACGCGGTTGCCTACCTGTCACGTCAAGATGGTGTTCAAAACCGTGATTAGGTCTATAGTTTTGGTGGATTAACGTCTTCAACACCAGCATAGGAAGAGCACTTACTGTTATGAAGATGTATAGACAGCGGTATAGAGAGGGACAGTTGTTTGTGAGAAACGAGGGAACCGTGTCAGAAGCCCCGGGGTCATTAAGGCCCCTTAACATGTCACCGAGCTACTATTTTTATACCTAGCTACTCCGTGCTTTATAATGACCGATTATGAAAGAGGTCTGTAAGCTACACTACAGTGATCAGCGGTCATGAGTAGGCTATCACCCCAGTGGACTGGAGCACAGAAGTGACTGCAGATGTCCTGTGTATTTATGCCCTAAGAGAAAGTAAGGGTATGAATTTTAGAAAAGATGGAGTTAGCAGGTTTTTTTTCGTAACAGATGGTGCTGAGCTCTTGCTAGATCTTGGATGTTCTCCTTTCTTGGTTGGTAAGTGTTGGAATATTAATTAAAGATGAGTAAAGAATAAAGCAAACATGAAAAAAGAGAAAGTGTCTTACGACATTCGAGGTGACAGAAATCATAGTTGAGAAAAACGTGAAATCGCTGGTAGAACTGCAAGCTTTGGCTCACCTACAGAAGAAAGAGGGCAAACGGATCTTGTTAAATTCCTAGTAAATACTACTAGGAATTTAACAAGATACTCCAAGGGCGGTCGCAGATATATTGAATACCGCATGGGAAATTGAGAATGCTGCTGAGAAACTGGCACGATCTAAGAAAACTCGCCTAGAGTTATTGCAAGAAGTGAAAGAAAAAGAATGCACGGAGGGTTGTGGTGGACTGTGGAAGATTTGTGCCGAAGAAATCCTAGCCAATAATCAGGTCCCACCACAAGTATTTAGCGACGCAGTGTGTGATCTGCCGATAAAGGGGAGGGGTAAATACCGGAACATTATGATCACTGGCAA